CTCTGAATGGTTGATGATACCATTTGGGCTTTTTAATACTCTTAATATATTTATGAATTTAATGAATGTTGTTATCAAACGCTTAAAAAAGTGGATTCTATATTTTGATGATAACTTGATTTTCCGAAGTGATATTACCATTTGTAATGCCTTAGACAAGTTCTTAAAACTCGCTAGCAACTATACATCAATGAAAAGAAGTGTTGTCCTTTTTTTACAAATTGAGGTGGTTTTGCATGATTTATTATTTTAACTTTTAGAATCAAGCTTAAATCTTTCAAAGTCCAAGGAATCATAAATTGGTGCTCACCCAAGCTATTTATTAAAGCATAAAATATTTATGATTTAACTAATTGCATAAAAGATATAATAAGAACTATGGTATAATAATTAGCCCAATCATAGATTCTTTAAAGGTAGAGAATTTTCACTTCACCCACAATTCATTAATAAAAAATAATATAACCATAAAAATCCCAACAAGGTTGAATTTCTAAACAATTATTCATTTACTCTCTAATATAAATTAAGAATATAAAATAATATGCTAATGTGTTATTTAAGGTAGCTTTGACAATCTATTCACTAGAACTCAAAATTTTTGGAATCGAATTACTTCAAGATGATTACCCAATATATCCTAATGTTAATCTAGTTTATATGGTGTATATCAATAAACCTTTCACAATATAAGTAACCTTCTCTATAATCAATTAATATTTGCATAACAGAAAATAAATTTATGCTTCTAGAACATCACTAAGAGAAATCATAATATCTAAGTTACATTACAAAATGATAACTTGACATTATTAAAAATATAAGACCATTTGTTTGATGGATATTCAAATTTTAATTTTTCAATTAAATTTTATATAAAAAATTGGTAGTGCAAATATCTAACAAAAAAATAAGCTAAAGCCATAAATAAATCTTAAGTTATGTTGCTTTTGCTTTCTTATGCACCTTAGGAAGATCGCTTGATAAACTTTATCCTATGCTTGTGTAGTGTAGATCTAAAACATGATAACAATTTTGTAGTAGTTGATTGATTTTTTTAAGATGAATATTTCTTACTATATTTTAAAACAAAACAATATGTTTTATTTTGTTGGACTTTATTTATAAGGAAAATTGTAAATTCACATGGTTTACTTTCAACCACTTTATCTTGCTTTAATGTTTAACTTCTTTTATATTTTTGAAAGATTTTAATGAAAAATATTAGACACAAAATTAATATTTTCATTTTTCTATCATCTTAAGATTAATAACTAAACCAAGGTAATTAATTGAACCTTAGAGAACCTCTTACGACATATTATGATAAAAAGTTTAGAAACTAAAGACTTTTAATTAATCAACTTATGATTTTTATATAATTTTATTAGCTTCAAAGTAACCAAGATCTCACATTTTAATATATTATATTACCAATATCTCATATGATTTATAAATGTAACCAATCTCCCATCTCATGCATTTTGATTTCTTAATATTCTAAGAACTTTAATGATGCTATAAAAATAAATTATATTAAATAATAATAAAAATAATTGTAGGAAAAAACATAATATGTCAACAAAGGAACTTAAGAAAGGATACTATATTATAATTTGCATCTACCATGCATTGTATCCCAATGTTAAGTTTAGAAAATTACAAATGAGGACTTATGAAACATTCCAAATTTATTAAAAATACTTAATGCCATTCACTTTGATTTTTCTGCTATTAAACTATTTCATCTTATTATTAACTTTATATATATTCTATAAAATAAAGCAAATAACAAACCTCTATTTGTATAATATGACTCTTTGACTAGAGATATTTTTCTCCACTTATAGAATCACTCATTTTTTGGAAGATGACCACATCAACATTTAGGAAAGTCCCATGGACCTAATAATCAAGCATTACCCTTTAGTTTATTATCAAAATAATTCACATTGTGAAGACATGCACCAACTTAGAAATTTTAGGTGAAGACATGCACCAACTTAGAAATTTACATTGTGAAGACATGCACCAACTTAGAAATTTTAGCCCCAAAGAAGAGCCCCAAAGAAGACTTTTACAATTTTAACTATATAAAGTAGAGTTTAGGTAAGCCTAAGAGATCAGATGTAGCAAATCATGTGGATAAGAAAATTAAGTTAGTAGTCACATTATAAAAGCTCAGACTAAAACTTAAGGATGAGACCAAAGAATAGACCCAACTATAAGAGCACAATAAAAATCCCATAATTTAAAATTTTACATATAAATTTTATTTAATTTTCTTATATAAAGCACATCTATAATAAACTATGACATAAAATGTATTAATAATAGATGCTTGGAACTTCTCTTTCGTTAATGGTCATTAATTCCAGCATTTATAACCCCCTTTTTTCCCTTAAGAGGTCTTATCACAAGAGTCTTATAAGGCTTATAAATATGGGTTTTAATGCTTTGTAATTTAATTGTTAAATAAAGTAATTTTAGCGAAAATTTGCTTTTCTTTTTAGCTTATTGTATGGTTATTCAAGTTTACTCTTTTGTTTGATAAGATAAGTTAGTTATCCTTATTCTTTTTATATTTATAGTTACTCTTATAAAATCCAACTTTTAATTTTCTCACAACTCTATGCACATTCCTAGAACCCACCAAGATCAGTAACTACCCATCCTAAAATACACATGTGCTCCAAAATTTTAGTAAGTACACTTAGCCTATCAAAATAATATGAGAAATTGATCTTGTTCTTTACTCCTCAATGTCATTTATAACCATTCGTCCTATAGAAAATTGGTTCCTTAAAGATAGTAAAAATTAGCCCAAACTTGTCCAATCTAGTCATGCATTCTTACAATATATGTCATACTACCCCTTAATATTTCACCAAAAATTTAAAATCTAATTTTAAACATTAAACTAAGGAATCATAACCTTTTTTAGCCTTTATTCTCATTAAAAAACTACTTGCCTCCACTAGTGATGCTTTTGCCACTTTAATCTTATCTAATAATACTACATGCATTATTTTGACCTCATTATTCTTAAATTATATTTCATATAATGGTTTGCTCAAGAAAAACTTATCATAAATCATGTATTCATTAATATGCGTGGAGCTTACAAGAACCTTTTTAAGTTTATAAAGTTTTAAAAATAGGCTTAAAATGTGTTAACCTAAAATCCTTTAAGATAAGGTGTCGTAAATCATTAAACATTATTTAGGATTATATTAGCTACATGCTCTACTTGGAGTTTTGATTCACATATCTTGCTTGTCCCATTGGTTCAAATGTGATTCAAATAGGTTAAACATGCCCAAAATAATCTAAATCAAGTCTTGATTTGACCTAATTTAACCATATACTCAAGTGAACCTAAGTCAACTCAAATGAAATAAACCATGAAACCAAGCACAATTAAGGTTTATGAACCCATAAATTAGTTTATATGGGCCTAACACAACCTTATATGGCTAATGTACCTAAGCTAAACACAAATTAACCATAACTAAGACACGTACATTGATTTAAATAAGCCTAACATAAATATTATAAACATCAATGCATCACCATGTGATCTTCCCTAGTAAACAAAGTGGCTATGGTTCTAAGAACCAATCTCACTAATCTCTATCTCTTAGACTACTTAGAATAAGCACCCATTATTGAAATTAAGGTTGAGAATATGTTGTCCATACCATCCTCTAGCTCATTTGATTATTTAAAGCTCGTCTTCTCTGATGCTATCAATCTCACTAATCTCTGTCTCTCAGACAACTTAGACTAAGCACCCATTATTGAAATTAAGGTTGAGAATATGTTGTCCATACCATCCTTTAGTTCATTTGACTATTTAAAGCTCCTCTTTACTAATTCCAACCATCAATCTCACTAATTTCCATCTCCCAGGTTACTTAGACTAAGCACCCATTATTGGATTTATGGTTGGGAATATGGTATTCATGCCATCCTCTAATTCATTTGATTGTCTAGTATTCCTCTCCTCTTGTCTCTCTCTTGACCGCACCTCCAAAAAATCATTTAGCACACTAAATTTACATTCCAAATTCATAATTACATTGAACCAACTTCCTCAAGCTGGAAGCAAATTTAGCCTCTTAAAGTTTATTACATGCTTAATCAATTTTGTGCCTTTCCATTTAAACATGTATACTAGATAAAATCTTTGGTGCTTTTTTATGTTGACTAGCAAGTGCACCCATTGATGCTTAATCAAAATTTGTATTCCACCTTTTAGCTTTTGCTCTATTTATTTGATCTTTTTAATAGCTTATAGTAAATTTGGTCACATGTGCACTAAGAATAAGCCACTAAAATCTTATGATTTTAATAAAGAAAACAAACGAGCATCATTTGACATCTTTTAATATCAAAATAATATATACTACTTTCACACATTACACTAAATCAATTAAGCTTTTATTTTGTCATTAATAAGCATTTTAATTTCTCTCAATTAATCCATAGTTTAATAATGATTCTTCTCTTAGTTTGTTCTTAATTGCCATATTAATGTAACTATAACTCAACAACATTTAAAATTAACTAATAATTACGTTATTTTTTAGGTTTTCTCAATACATTCTGAATTATATGTCGATCTATTTGTATGCTAAAATCTTAAGTAATAGCTAATATATTCTTAATCATCAATTCAATATGCTTAAATTGAGCATTTTTAATAAAATTAATTTGTCATAAGCATCAATATCAAATAATAATTTTATTAGTAAGAAGACTAGCATTCCACTTTATTCTTGAATTTAAGACAATTCCTACTAATTAGCTTTCTTAAACCCTTGCCTGGTCGCAAAGCAGTTTATCTACTCCTAAACCCTCGCACAAGTAACAGCGAAAAGCGCAGAGGACCAGGCGGCGATGGAGTCGTCGGAGACGCCGGAGAGAGACCTCTACGCTATTCTTAACATCTCGAGGGAGGCTTCCGACGAAGATATTCGGAAGGCCTTTCGCCAATGGGCTCAAGTTTACCATCCTGACAAGTACCAGGATCCCGAAGTGAGCCGTTTTCTTCTATCGCTCTTCTTATTCCGTTATCTTTGATCGGTACAAAAAAAATGTCTTCTTTTCGTGATAAGATTTGAGCTTGGACTGTTTATTAATTCAGTTTCTATTCCACTGCTCTTTAATGGTGGGAAGATTTGTAGGGTGTGATCTAATGAATTGATAAAATTCGATTTTTTTTTATTTTTTTTATTTTTTTTTTATAATAGTTGAAGAATGTTGCGACCGATAATTTATTTTTTATTTTTATAATAGTTGAAGAATGTTGCGACCGATAATTTCCAGAGGATTCGTGATGCATATGAGATATTGTCAGATGAGCACAAGAGAGAAATTTATGATATATATGGAATGGAGGGGCTGAATTCAGGGTATGAGCTTAGTGAAAAGCTTAATAAACCGGAGGAGATCAAGGAGATGTTGGAGAGATTAAAGCGGCAGAAAGAAGTGGAGAAAACTTTAGCTCATTCCAAGCCTAGTGGTGCACTTCTTGCTAATCTGTCTTTGCCCCAATATCTCGATGGTGGTAGCATTATTAGTGGGTACAATCTTCTTTTAATTTTTTTCTGGGTTGTGATGTGCTTTTTACTTCTCAATATCAGGCTGACATTTTTTGTTGGAGTTATTTGGTTTATAATTTATTATTTGAAATGTTATGTTACTGGCATATGTCAACTATTTGTTTAGTTTTTGCCTTTGAATAATAGGTATTTTAATGACATTTTTGCCTTTAGTTTCTGATATTTAGATTCCGCTAGTTTGGGCAACATATTGATGTTAGGCTATATAAACAGTCCAAATAATATAGAATTTTGTGGATAACACTGAGCTAGTCATACAACATTTAACCAATAGCACTAGCATTTATGTATAACATTATTAATCAAACAAAATTTGACCAAAAAACCCCCTGAAGAATCCACTTAATGTGACTGAACACAGCTTTCTGCCTTTATACTTACTGCAAGTTGCAACGAATGAACTACTTTTTTTTTTTTACGGATCAGAGAGTACTTCCATTCTACTTACAATTTGAATTGATTTTATTATTGTTTATGATATAGATTTACATTACTAGCAATCTATTGAATATTTCTTGCATAATTACCAGAATGGGGATGTTTAGTGAGGTAAAATCTCAGCTATCCAAGCGTAATTCATTGGCCATAGGAGGAAATTTGTCAGTCGCAGGTGCATCTGGAACAGGCTCTGCATCAGCCATGCTAAGGCACCAGATTTCTTCTGTTGCTTCTGTAGAGTTCATGGCTTCTGCTGGGCTACGGGCATTACTTGGTGTTCAAACATCACGGTATGTATCTTCTGTGTAGTTGTTGGTCTCTTGTCCATCCTGTAGATACTATCTATTTGTTTGTTTCTTCTTCAGAATATAAATTTTTATATGAGCAATCTGTACTTATACTGCAACCTTGTCAGTCAGCTTTCACAGCATTCAATGGCTACCCTTGGGATTGCGGTGTCTCTCAGGGATGGTTCAGTTAATCTCTCTAATGCATGGACTCGTCAACTATCAGAAACAACCATTGGAAATGTAAACTTCTTATCTCAAGATTTTGCTGTTAAATTTGCATTGCCTTTTTTGTACTAAATTGTTGGTTAAGTTATTAACCTTTTTTGACATCGATTTTTTGTCAAGCTATGGATAATTCTTTTCATGGAAAGCAATTGGCCATGTTTAACAGATTTTTCTGCCAAATTTCAATGTTTTTTTTTATAGCAATGATATGCTTGCAAATAAATTCTTAGCAATTCATTAAAGTTCCTGAATTTCTTATTTTAGTTCTATTTTGGGTCGTGTAAGTTGGACCGTTCCCTGGAGAGTACAGTTGCAAAATGTTATAGCTCCAATTTTAAGCTCTGTGATTTAATATCAGTAATTATTTGGATTTCACCTGCCCTTAAAGCTGCCTTTGCAATGACATGAGCTTTATGTGGCATATTTAATTATCATAAAATTGTATTCTTCTACTTTATACTCAACTTGAGTGAAGCAAAAACAAGATTATAAGTTTTGATGAAATTTCATATTATTATAATCATCACAATATGGGATTATTATGTATCAATGATAATAGTCTGAAACTTTGTGAGGTTTCGATTATGTCAACTCTATGCGTAGGCACCAATTCGATAGACTGCTATAATTATTTTAAGATTGCTATTGATAAATTAGGACATATTGAAACTAATAGTTTGATGTTGTTTAGAAATAATTTAGGGTCTGCAATTAACATCACTTTAGTGTTAGACCTTAATGGATGCTGAAAAATGATTAATAGAGAAAAATAGATTGGATAATGTTAATGATTTAATCATTGTGTTTTTTGCTTGTATATTTTCATGAAGTGAATGTAATACTTTCACATTCATACTTGCGGGGATTGCAATAGCATGCAATAATGGTTTTCTTGTTTACAATATTTCAGGTGCAACTTGTTTTAGGAGTAGAATCTGGTATCTCCATCGGCTGGCAAAAGAAAGATGACAAAACTTCGGCTTCTGGAGAACTAAAGGTTGGCAGTTTCTTAGTGCTTTCATTGTGCATTGTCCAATGCAAAGCAAAACATATTTGTTTCGAAGAGCAGTCACAAAGCAACAATTGTAGTTTTTGAAGTATACTCTTCGTAGGTCCTACAATTTTCTTATAAGTTATTGTGATGCACAAGTTTGACATAATTGAAATGAAATATTCCTTTTTTATGGGATTGGTAAATTCAAATGTATGTTGTTCAAACCCGTAACCTTAGAGAAACAAATTCTCTTTCAGTTGGTTGTCACTTATTCTTTCATTTTAATATCCCATCTTATTTACTAAATTGACTTAATATATATAGGCAGGCTACATTATTAAGCACAATCAAATAAATGATACTTTATATATGAATGGATGCCTGGAAGCATAAACTTTGCACTCAACCTTAACATGCGTGAGAAAATTATAACACTACGTAATATGAATTTCAGCTTAAAAGAAACAAAGGATCTCACATATATGTGCAATCTAATTTCCACTCTCACATGCATACATGTGCGAACATGTTTCCACCAAAATTATATTACATACTCTAATATATAAGGACTAATGATGAGGAGAGAGGTATAGCTATCATCACATCTTTTCCTAACTTTTTGGAGCAGTTATATGGATTATCTTTCATGTAGTCTTGTTGAGTGCTACATTTGATAAGATCTAAAAAATCTAAATTACAATTGGGAACTTATATAAATTTAAATGCACTTGAAAATAACCAACATTATCTTCATTAGCCTTAGCCAAACTATTTTATAAATTCTTTTCCATTCATTCTCATTTGGCGTCATATAAGATGTCACATCAATTACATTCAAGTCTCTTTACATAAGCTTGAGTAACATTAGCTTTGGTCGACCATTTTTAACTTCTATTCCTTCTTAGTGGTTACATATACTAGCCATATTGATGCATCTTTACTCTTCGTTAGGCTAGCCCAAATAATCTAATTTTATTTTTACTGTCTTAATTCTTATCTTGAATTATCACTGCTACCACCATCTCTCATATAATTAATTTTTACCCTATCCTTTTCACCTGCACAACAAATTCAACTAAAAATTATCAGTTCTTTTGATTGGTTGTTAATGCCTTCTTTGCTACCTGAACCTTGTATGTATATGTAGCACAAACAGATCTAATTGTAATTGAAAAAAAAAAAGAACTACAAGACTCTTATATCATATACACCTTGAGACATTAATATTTTTTGAACCATGAAGCTTTAACTTTAGAAGTTATCCACTAATTTATATCAAATTTGTTTGCTTAATAAATTGTAAGTGATACTTTTTTCACCTTAGTATTTTTTGATTTTCCAACTTTATTAATTAAGAATTATGATTTCAGTGTCTATCGAATTACATATCATAAAACTCATGTTAATTTACTAAACTGGAGTTTCTTATGAACTTTCTATTCCTGAAACTTTTTTTTTTTCAATTCTAATTTCTCACTTTCGTTGAGGTTTCACATATCAGCATCTCCATAACCTAGAATTAAAAATAAAGGCACTTATTAAGCTCCAATGTAGTTAAAAGCTTGACCAGAACTAGACTATCGAAGAAGAATGATTCACATATCAGCATCTCTGTAGCCTAGAATTAAAAAGAACGGCACTATTTAAGCAGCAATGTAGTTAAAAGCCTGTCCACAACTAGCCTATCTAAGAAGAATGATTCACTCAAAAGTCAATAAAGCAACACAATCATATGATAGTGTTAATTGATGCTTTCACTTAGATCACTTTTGGGGTGCTCTTTACTTTGCCTTTTTGAGGTGAAGCTAAAGTGCCATTTGGGATCACTTTTGGTTTTTATTTTATTTTGTTTATGTTTTGATTTGAAACAAAATATGTTTGGTTTTTTTATTAAGGTGTTTGTTTTCAAAAGTACTCGTAACACTTAAAAGTTGTTATTGGTGTTTTTGAAAACATTTTAATTTATTTTTAGAAACAAAAAATAAAAGCATGTAAAAATCACACCAAACAAACATGTTTTTAAAAATAGAAGAGAAAATAAAAACAAAAATAAAATACAAATTAATCCCAAACAAGCCCCAAGCTTTTGAATTGTGTGCTCCATACACTTCTAATGATGCTGGTACTTCACTTTTTGTTATTTATTAATGAATTACATGGTCAATAGAAGCATCTTGGCTTGTTAAAACCAACCCAAAATAGTTAATACTATTGTTAAGAAGTTATTCTTTATTGTTTGAGCCTGAATCAAAATCAGCAAAATTGGCTTACTGATTTGGCTTCAGTTTTAATACTTTGATTGTTTGAGCCTGAATCAAAATCGGCAAAATTGGCTTACTGATTTGGCTTCAGTTTTAATTTTAAAAAATTCAGTTATTCTTGGCCTAAGGTGAAATCTAATTTGATCATAACCTAAACCAAACACATTCTGAAATTCTCACTCACGGGTAAGTAAATTTTTATGAGCCAACCCCAAATAATTGGGATAAGGCTAATGATGAAGATATTGCGATCTTTCTAGTCTACATAACATTTTTTTTAAACACTAATTTTTCATATCTAATCATCTTTTAGGTTTTGCCTTTCTAATTTATATTTAAGTTAGCTTCACTACATTCCTGTATTTTTATTGCTATTGTTGTGGGTTGATGCTCATTGTTTATGCGCTTCCAATCTTTTGTAGTTTGGTACAGCTTCCCTTGGAGCATCAGTTCATTATACTCACCATTTCTCTGCGAAGTCTCATGGTCGGCTTGCAGGTAGGATTGGAAGGTATGTTTTGGTTTCAACATGAGCTTCGATACTTTCTTTTGTGCTTTTTGTTTTTTTTTTTTTGAAAACTGTGAAATTTTACTCTATATAATGACATGGATAACTGTAAAATAGCATTTTGAGATAAGGATGTAATTTCACTGTTTGATCAGGTGTTTGGCTTTGTCAATACCAAAAAAAGGAAGATTTACACCTAAATTTCAATTTTTAGCAATATGCCACCTTACCCATGCATGAAAACCTGTATTACTTTTTAAAAGGTAAAAGAGTGGTATTTTTGTTGTGATGCGAAAGATTTGGGCGGTATAAATGTAAACAGTAAAATTTAGGTGGCACACATGTAAATACATAAGGATTGGGTGGTATGTATGTAAATGCCCCGAAGAAAATACAGCATATTGAGTAATTCACAACAGCCTCACTTGATGGTACTAAGAAACTCTTCTCAATTAGTCCAATTATTACAAATTTATCTTGCACTTGTGTTGTAAGCTACCTGTGAACTATTGGCAAAGGTTTGTAAATTTGTTTCATGTGGCATGCAAATTATGAAGGAAAAGTTGAAGAAATTTTATTTTCAAGAACTAATACATAATAAATTGCATAATTAGACCGAGAAACGAAGCTAGAGCTGACTTGTTAATCATTTGTAAGATTGACACTAACTACTGAAAGCTTGGCGGATGGTGTGACATTCATGCTTTGCATGTTAATTTAATGCTTGGCCGGTACACCTTTTCTTTTATGTCCTTTGTTTGCTTAACTAATTCCTGGGAAATTACTCCTGCAATGCTGTAAATGGGGCATTACTATTTAATATGTATAAAAACCATTTTGATATTTTTTTAATATTATTCCAATGAACAGCTGTAAGCATATGAAGAAATTTCTGGAGTTGTATGATGATAATTGCTCCTTCATGATAACCGTGCGAAGTTCAAAAAAAATGAAATCATGACAATTATTGTGTTAGTCATGAGCCATTTTGCATCATGTGGTACCAGAGTTAAGTTGTGTTGCATCTCTAATTTCAGTTCTCTTGTATATTTCTTGTAAATCCATACGCTAATGGGATTTTTCATTTCATTTTGCATGATATCTTAGCAATCTTTGAGACCTTTTTTCTTGGAGTTAAATTTGTTTTTTGATAAATTTTCAGCACTGCACTTGAATTCGAAATAGGTGGAGGAAGGAGAATATCAAAATTTAGCACACTAAGATTACTTTATATTGTTGGAATTCAGGTAAATGAGCTTTATGAGCAATAAGATTTTTTTATATTCATGACTTGTTTGTTTGTTTGTTTATTTTTTATTTTTTTATTTTAAGTTTGTAACTGCAGTTCTGCTTTAATAAATCTCAGTTATTGTGAGTATTACTATTTTGATATAGCGATTAATTAACTATTTGTTCTTATAAACTTATTTTTTGACTGCCAAGTAGGGAATCTCCTGGAGATTTGAGTTGCACCGTGGAGGCCAGAAGCTGATAATTCCAGTAAGCAGAACAAATGTCTAAAATATTTAGGCCATTTTACCAAAGATATCTTATCGATTATTCCTTGACTTTCTTATGAACTTGTACCTTGTTAATTTCTTTTGAAAGTTAGGCACCTCAAAATTGAAATTTTGTTGCAATTTATTTCTGTTAAATGCTGGGCATTGAACTTTGTTATTATCTCATGTTATTTTCATTCTGAATTTTTTTAGTGACAGTATTTTATCATTCGAACTCAAACTCTCTAGAACAAATTCATGATGCTATTGACTGGAAATCATCATGGTTCCCAACTACTTTCTCTGCTAAGCTTTTTGAAATCTTGTTCAAGAATCTGTGTACATGATTTTTTATTTTCTATACCTTTACTTAGTTTACTTTGTAAAATTCTCTTGCTGTTCCATAAAAAATCTTATATTTTAAAATTCTGTAAATTACTACATAGCCTTTGCAATCATAACTTTTTTTTTGCATTGTTGATTTGTTTACATTTTTACTTGCTTGTTAGCACAGTGTTATGGTGTTCTTTTGAATTTTTTTGGGGGTCTTTTTGTTGAATCTAATACGAGTTAAACATTTGGAGAAGAATATTAGTAAAATTGTCGTTTTTGAAAAATAATGCATGCTTAAGTTTAAATTATTACATTATATTGCGTTGAGCAAATAAGCTTAAGCTAAAATACAACCAAACAATTTTCTTTGTTTTTCTCAGTTTACAATGCATCTTCTTCACTAACTAGAGGGATTAACCCTGCTTAAAGGAGTAACATAGTTTATTTGTTTAAGCATAACTAAATCCCCACCTAAACATGCCCTAAGTGATGGAGTTGCATAGTTTGACCTAATTTTATTAGGGTCCCTGCTCTGGAAGGTTTTAAAAAACCTTCATTTATTTATTGATTCTTTTCCTTATTATTTATTTTTTTTCTAGGTAGTTTTGTTGGTACAATTTTGATGACAAAACCAGCCTCTCGATGCCTGATGTACATCTTACCATCATTGTGTCTATGTTCAAGTCCTTTGGTACAAAATATGCCCGATTTGCTTTTATTATAGGACAGCATATTTAGAAAGGTTTCAAGCTTGCTTTTGGTTTACATTAAGTGATTTTGACTCCTTCGATGTTCAATTATCATATATTAATGAATTTTTAAAAAGTTAAAATGTTGTAGCCTAACTACAAAATTTCGCTAGAATTTTAAATTTCAAAATTAATGAATTAAAATCCTGCTTACCTGTTTTATAATTGTCACAACTCTAATGATGCTAAAATATGAGCAAGTGATCCAACATAGCCCATATATCAAGTGTGGTTGCTGAGAAACCTAAAAACAGAGAAGTGTATATTTGTAGTATAGAGAAAGCAGAACTTATTGTTTCATTAACTGCAGATTGGTCTTGAGTATGGATGTGGTGAATCTGAAGCTCACCGGCTTTGATGTGATCGCGGATAAAGTGGTAATCAATTTCAAAATATTTTGTGTGAGTATGAAACACTGGATTATTTGCGATTGCAATGGAGGAGAGATTATCACAATGTAATTTGGTAGGATGAGATTGAGAAAATGCCAAAGTCCTGTAGAATGCAGTGTATTCATATAACTTCAGATGTAGCTGCTGCGAGAGCACCATATTAACCTTTGTTGATGATCGGGCTACTGTATGGTGCTTCTTCACTGTCCATGAGATTGGTGTGGTCCCAAGTATGAATAATAACCAATTGTGGATTTGCGCTTGGCTGAATCTGCAACTCAATCAAAGTCCGAGTAGATTTGTAATGTGGGAGAGGCTGGTGTGATAAGAATTTCATATGCAGTTGTTCTCTGTAATTATTGGAATACCCGCTTGAATAATTGAAGATGATGGGAAGGAGTATGCATATGTTGGGAAAACCGATTAACTGCGATGGAAATGTCGGGCTTAGTTATCATGAGGCACTGCAACGATCCTATAAGCTGCCTATATGTATTTGGACCTTCCAGCTGCTGTGTGGCCTGCACTCACCTTGGTGGTTAATGGTGGATATCGCCTTGCATCCTTGCATACCAGCAGGATTTAAATTTGTTGAAGGTACCTTTGCTGACCAAGGAAGAGGTATGAGTTAGTGCAAGAGATTTCTATTCACAAGAACCTTGATGTTAAGCCCATATCTTTAATCCGAAACCTGGATTGAAGGCACATTTTCAGATTTGCAATGGTAGAGTCACACCCTCCTGTAATCAAGATATCATCAACATAGAGTAAAACATACGTAGAGGGCTCCCGTTGTTTGGAAATGAGCAGGGATGGATTGACTTTGTTGAATTCAAACCCTGATTCAAGAAAGAAGGAAGGTAGTCGCAAACCATTTTCTGAGGGACTGTTTTAAGGCCATAGAGGGCTTTTTTGAGTAAACTGACATGATTTGGGATGTGGGGGTCAATGAAACCAATGAGTTGTTGCATATACATAGTTTCGCTAAGGGAACCATGTAGAAACATGCTGAATATGTCAAACTGAAATATAGGACATTGCTTCTGAAATGCTATGGTAAATAGTGTCCGAAGAGTGGGCATTTTATAACCAGGCTGAAAGTGTTATGTTAATTGTTTCCTAATTGTTGTTTATAGCCTTGAGCTAATAATTGTGCCTTGTATCAGGCCACTGACCCACGGAGTTGAATTTAATACAATATGTCCATCAACATCTTAGCATTGGTTGGTTGGACGTTGTTGGAACCAGTTCTCATGTAGCTTGGGATTGCAAGCCGCGGAACTCTTCATTCATAGCTTGTCTCCAACGTGCACATTTCACTGCCTGATTATAGCAGGTTGGATCAAGGGGCTGCTCTAGTTGATGGGAGAGTTTCAAGCATTGGGTCGATTTAAGGCTGCTTGTCTGTGCTCGAGTTTGCATTGGATGAGAAGGTATTAAGGCTGTCTGTCTTTGCTTGCGTTGGGAGATGGGGGCAGAGTTTGGCGTTGGAGCGGGCTGCTGTTGTGTTGAATGAGAGGGTGTGATTCATTGAAGGGTACGGTTTACTGAAATGGAGAGGTGTTGGGTATAGGTGTTTGTACAGGTGCTGAAGTATTTGATACGCAAGCAAAGACCGACTCTGGGATGCTCAGGTGTTGGGTGATTCATTGAAGAGTAAGATTTACTGTAATGGAGAGGTGTTGGGTGTAGGTGTTTGTTCAGGTGCTGAAGTATGTCAGATTGTGGTCTAGTTGGAATTGAGTGCAGTTGTGAGGAGAATGAATTAGTAGTTGGTGCTGGGATTAGGGGGAGTTGGCAAGCAGCTTGAGGAGCCTATGGATAGTCGTCTTTATAAAAATTACATTACGAGAGATAATGACCTTGCTGGTTTGTCAGTAGCCCAAGAATATGCTCTGTGGTGCCCGTGGCTTCAAGCATGGGTAACAAGCACAACCAAACATTTTTAGGCAGTCGTAAGTGGGTTTCTTCTTGTAAAGCAACTCATATGGGAACAAGGGAACAAAGTGCGAGTGTTTTTGGACGACATTCGATTAATTAGATCAGTAGCCGTGAAAAATGTGTCCACCCAAAAAACTATATGGAAGGGAAGCATCGGTAAGGAGAGCATGAGTAATTTCTAGTAAATGACGGTGTTGAAGTTCTACCATCCCATTTTATTTTAGGGTGTGAGGGCAAGGCAATCGATGTATAATGTCGTTTTCAGTTAAAAGTCGGGATAGTGTCACGCTGGTAAATTTCCCACTACCATTAGAACATAAGAAGGACACATTCATCTTTAATTGGGTTTTGATCATAGTAAGGAATGCTGTGCATTTGTTAGGCACATCAAATTTTGCAGTTATAGGAAAAATCCAGCAGAATTTCGAGAAATCATTAATGAAAAAACATCATAATGAAAACCTTAATGAGATATAAAAGGGGATAGATCCCATACTGATGTGGGGCTTGCCGTGACCACGTGGGAGCTGGAACTCCTGCTAGTGAACCGATCGGCCCAAGTGAGGCCGGTCCAGGGGAATCCCGGGCCGAGCGGACACTGGCGAGAATCCTGTCGGGGCGAGTGGTTTCTTGCGCCCTATCCCATACCTTATCTACATCTCGCTTGATTGAGTGGCCGTTTAATAAGTGCGGCATTGCCACCAGTCTCTTTCTCATCCTTTCTTTTCTGTGATTTCCTTATGGGAGCTTTCCTTTTCTGTTTTTTCACTGTGAGTCTTTAAATTGCTGTTTTTTAGATGCAGGGTTTAGTTTTTGTTGTGTGTTGATTTTCGATTCTTGTGTGGAGTTCTTTTTTCCTTTGTGGGATGTATCCGAGGAGGCGCTGGTGCTCCGACTGTATTCTACTCTGAGGTGGTAATTGTTTTTCTCCTTTTTTCTTCCCCACTCATTCTCCTCCACTTCCCTTAGTAGCCGACTAGCCCCAACAACTTCCCCCTGCACTGCCGACCCCCTTTTTGTTGCAGCAATCTGCTGTCCACCCTTCTAGGCCCATTCCGACAGGGCACCGGCTCCCCTACAGTAGCTACCTTGCTGTCCCGGCCTAACCAGCTGTTTTCCCACCTTCCCAGCTTGCTACCCCGCCTTCAACCTACCTCCCAACCATCCAACAAATGTTCCTGCCACCTTAACCTATTGCCTCCCTCCTCCACTCCACCTTCCAACCTTTGTCGGCCCTCTCCTGCATTCACCCTTGCTGGCCCAAGCCTCTAGATCCACTGGGCCAACCTCTACTGTCCTTGGTATACACTTTCGAGGTGTTTGATTGTATCGTTCTATGTTTTGGTGATGTTATTTTCAGATTGTGTATGTTGGAACCCTATTTCTCTATTAATAAATGTTGCTTTTATGGTTTGGGTATTTTCTTCTTTTATCATATGGTATCAGAGTTAGCCCAACCCTAGTCCTATCCTAAAGTTCGGTATCATCCGCCTTGCCCTCAAATTGGAAAATTTTCTTTCTTACCGTGAACCAACCATTCCAAAACCAAACCCTAAATTCTCTTTGCTGAATTTCAAAGTGTGCAA